TTTAGGACGTCTAGGATTTGCGCCATAAACATGTATTTTTAGAACGAAGTGCCAGGGCTCGAGATGTTACGAGCACGATTTACCCCCAGTTTCAGTTTTAGTTTTAAAAACGCGGTAAATAAACGCGAAAGCGCGTCAACTTCTTCCTGACCTCCCCTGTACGATATATAATCTTTGTATTGCGAAGCGGTAAAACCGTCGTTATTTTTAAGCAATAAATTAGACCGTTAAGTGGAGGTCGGGCCCCGACTTCGAGTGGAGGGCTCCTGTCGGCAAAAGTAAGTCCCAATGCCAGAGGACACTCCCATTGATTCGGTCCCTGTGTTACTCTGACATTAATTTAGTGCGTACCAACCTACCTATTCGAGATAGGGTCGCACACTCGACAACGACCAATCGATATAATTCCACGTTCAATCTTCAACTTAGAAAATGCCATATACTACTCGCTAATAAAATGGGCGATTAAGTGAAGGCCGTGCTCATTAATATCAAACATTTATATCAACACGTCATACTAGATGCAACATCAAAAACACGCACGAGGTGCGACTTAGGTGCCTATTCCCCATTTACCAATTTTTCCGTATATTACCCTTATTCGCACGATTTTCATCTCTATGTGCGATTCTTTCAGCGAGGAGGATTTATAAGGGCATTTGTAAAAATGTAGCAAATTCTTTCCTGGTATATTCGCATTGTGAGGCGATGGAAGCGTCTTTATTTGTAAACAATAAATTGGGCAGCTAAGTGAAGACCGTGTCAGCTCGACTGGAGGACCGAGGCAACTATCTAACATTTATATTAACACGTCATAGTAGGTGCAACATCAAAAACACGCACGAGGTGCGACTTAGGTGCCTATTCCACATTAACCAACTTTCCCATACGTTACCCTTATTCGCACGATTTTCATCTCTACGTTGCGATTCTTTCAGCGAGGAGGATTTATAAGGACGTTTGTAAAAATGTAGCAAATTTCTGCCTGGTATATCCGCATTGTGAGACGATGGAAGCGTCCTTATTTGTAAGCAATAAATTGGGCGGCTAAGTGGAGACCGTGTCAGCTCGACTGGAGGACCGAGGCAAGAATGAGGCCCCGTGGCAGAGGACACTCCCATTGATTTGGTCCCCGTATTGCTCTCGGAAGTTAAATATAGGTAATGGGCGATAGGTGCACCCTCGGTACACCGAGGGTGCCCGTGCCACCGCCATTCCCTGAATTTAGTCCTGTCAATGGACCGATATAACACTTGGGTGCATTCGCTGTAAGTGCGTGCGCGTCCGTGTGTGCAGGACGATGAGCGATAGGCCCGAAAAGGAGCAGTGACTTAAGCTTGTTTGTCGTCCTTTACGAACCGGAGCAGCTGTCCCCCTCGTTCCGCCAGGAATCCGATCCTTTCACGTCTCGTTACAAAACCCCCTGGCGAGTTTAGTCAGTATTAGCGTGAAATTTGGCCTTTCAAACGTTTTAATAGCGGCGCCCTTTGCACGTCGAAGGTGCGTCCTAATAGGAACGTCCTGGCTTTCGTTTCCAGGTTTCGCCTGTCCCTGTAGGCTTGACTTTTGATCCATCAATTGGTGTCAACCAAGATCCGTACGAGACACGAATCTCGTTTCCGGATTTTCATCGATTTTTGCGCAAACAATTATTCTTAATATTTTAGAGGTCAACATTATTCAACCCACCGGATCACATGATTAGCCGTAATTCTGTGAGGTTGTCCATTTTATACGGAGAAATCAAATTGAAAAGGTTACTAGGTTTATTCGAAGTATTTACCGTTTTACTATGTTACGTTCGCATTGTAACTATCGCTATTGAGGGATTCTAAGTAAATACCAGGAATAAATCAGTATGGTAACGTCTTCCACTGTAATCTTTACGCCTCGAATGAAATAATGCTTTCTCGGTGATACATTCGAGTCAGTCACGCCTTTTAGCCGGATTGACTTACTAACGTCACGTTTCATCAAGTACTCTCTAATCAACTTCGGATTAGTTCCGAAGATCGTTCGCTAAGTACCTAAGCCACCCTTTCCCCCTTTCATTCGCGTGGAAAAATCGGGGTATGGAATACAATTGACACTTGGGGTAGCAACTCGGAGGATAAGTCGATCGCGTTAAAATTCTTCCGAAGCGTATCCACTACGCCCTGTAAACAAGAGTTAAAGCATCGTTAAGTAACCCCTTGGGAAAGAATTTTTATCCCAATCTTATCGTTATAATAATTATTATAAATTTAGTTTACTCTAATATCGAGCTTCGTCTCTCGATACTGCAAGACTGCCATTTTCATGATCTTCTTCGAAAGGATATGTTGAAACTTCAAAAGATCGGGCTTATTTTCCCCATTATTCATTTCCACGCGATATAACAAGATGTCACGCATCGTCGCAGGAGACTAACAGCATTCACATGGCAATAACTATTTTGTAGAAATATCAATTACGCGATTGCTTCGCGGACATTTGACCTGGGCCTTTCCCCCGATACCAATCTGTGGATCTCCCATCCACGAAGAAGCCAAAAGAGGAGACCAGGGTGATCGAAGAACGGGGAACGGGGACAGGGGCAAATTGACACGTTGGTTGGGGTCCACGGTTGAGATTATTCACGCCCGAATAACTGCGGACCTAACCTAATGTAATCGGCGACGTGTGACAATTCGGCAGCGGGGCACAATGGGGCGCAGGCCCGTTGCCATTCCGAAATAACTCCTCCATTCGTGCCAGTTTGGTCTTCTGCCTTTTTATGGCTCTTTATTATCGCTGTTAATGGAACCTGGTCTTCCGTAAAATTAGGTCTCAATTACTCCAATGTGGGAACGTCATACCTCCCCGGAAGAGTGAACGGCTCGTTGCAGGGCAGACGTTGAAATCCCTCCTTTTATTCAACATCAGGGAATCACTCCAACTATAACGGTCGTAATTATCGATAATTGTGGGGAAAGTATCCGCAACGCGTTACGTCTTTTGCGGTACAAATGGAGAAATGTCTTATCATTCAAGGTTTTATTATTCAAGGTGTTGAGATAATATAAGGAGAGTTGATTTCCACGCGATTAAGGTCTTTAATTCTACCTTAAAAATGGCAGATGTTTGCATCTATTCATGCTTATAAGCTTAAAATAGTGCTAAAATTTCAAATACGGTACTTTGAATGCACAGCATCCCTTGCACCGGAAAAATATCTCGTTATTCAATGTAAACCGTGAAATACTGTATTATTACCTGTGGTATATTTTACGGCGTAAGATGGGATAAACATTCCATTCCGAGATTTTTAAGCTGCGATTGAATCGAAATATTCCGAGTACTACATTTTGATGTAAAAAATAAAAATAAATGAACTACGAGGATCTTGGCGAATTAAATTATGTCAAATATTCAGCTGGGAAATTGAACGATCAATGAATACAGGATTTAGAGGTTTATCCGAGATGGATAATTTCGACACGAACGTGTACTTTCTCAAATGAGGTATTCTCCGATAAAATGGGTCTTGAAACAGTGCGTCCTAAATTTCCCTCCCTCCGGACGGCGCGGTGTTTACACAGCTTCTGAATAAAAAAAAAAAAAAAACGCAAGAAAACGAGGAGAGCGAGCCGGCGAAAGGCCACGAAATACCGTGAAAATCCTGGAACAGGATATAAGAGCGACGTCATCGGTCCGTGGCGATCGAGGCCCGATAAAGCGAGCCGATAGATCTACTTATCCCTCTCCAGGTAATAAGAAGCGTACCCGCAGGCCCCCGCTCGTGTACAAGCCCGGTGGCAGGGTTGAGAGCGCGAGAGACCGTACATACATAAAGCCAAGCGAGAGAGAGGCTCTCTCTCTCTCTCTCGAGGAGTCGCTCGGTAACTACTCGAGCGATCGAGGGTCTAGCTAGCCGGCTATCCGGCCAGAGGGGGCCAGTCGGCTAGTTCGCTTACTAGCAGCCTCTTGTTTTATTCAGTCGGGATCATAAATTACGAGTTTAAACACACAATGAAAGACGCTTAACAAGAACCTAACGCGAGATTGAGAGGCTCCGCCTCTTGCGGGCGCCGCTTCCGGTGGAGCGGGTCGGGAGCGCCAATGGGATGCGGGCGCCGCCTCTCGAGGGTTCCGAGCGCGAGCTTCGGTTGGCCGCCGCCACCCCACTCCGCGGCGCTGAGGGTCTGGCCGGCCGCCCACGGGTCGCGCGCGCGATCCGCGCGCGGGACGTCGAGGCGGCAGCGCCAAACCTCGATCTCTCTCGACCGGAGAGGAGAGGCCCGGCGCGTTCCGTCGACCCGCACGCGGCGAGGCTCGCCACTCGGATATACTCCGTCGTCTCGCCCGACCGCGCACGTCAGGAGCGCCGCTGCCGCCCCGACTCGAAAGGGACTCGCGAAGGATCGGTCCGTTCGCGACGCCGGTCGTGCCGCACCTCGGAACGGGGTCCGGCTCCCGAGATGCCCGCGGCGTCTGCGGGAGGTTAGGTCGAAGTCGGAGTCCTTAGGACCCGGGAGAGGGGATTCGGACTACGTCGTCCTTGTGTGCCGCCGCAGCCCGTGAGGACTTTTCGATGGGCCTAGTCGACCTCGCGAAGGTGCACCCTGGGGACAGGGTCGAGAACGCCGGAGGGTAACTCGAGGTTGAACGCTGCGCGGTTTCCCGCGAGCCTGGCAAAGCCGGAATTTCGACGGTGTCCGGTGGACGACGCAGCCAGGAGCGGATATCCCGTCGAGGTTCCCCCGCCTAGCCGGTTCCAGGATCAAAGGACGCCGAGGAGTCCGTGGGACCGCTTGGTATCGGCCAGGGAGGACCCCGATCACTTCACGAGGTTCAAAGTCGTCGCCGATGGTCATCGGGGAGGAGCGCTCGCCCCTGGAAGGCGCCTAGCCTCTGTCCAGGATATCGGAAGGAAGAGCGGGGGTAGAGGACGGATCACGGGACTCTCTCCGGGCATCGTCGTCTCCGTCCGTCGACCAGCGGATCCGCAAGCGGCGCCGTCGAATTATGCGCGGGGCGAGATGGTGTGCTCCCTGACCAACCGCAAAGCACCCGGGGAAAGCGGCGAAGCCCTTGCGGACCACCAGCGGAGACTCTTGAGCGGAGAGCAGGCGGCCAGGATGTCGCTGAGCGAGGCCCACCGTCGGAGCAGCAGCCACCTGGACGGGGGGGAGCGCAGCTCCTCGGCGGGGTCCTCGTTGGGCTCTTGTTCGCCGCCCCCGTCCTCGGGGAGCTCGCCGCCCCCCCAGAGGCCGCCCTGGCTCCACGACCTGCACGCGGCCACCTCGCCCCATGTCCTGCAGTTCCTGAACCTGAGCGCGGCCGCGGCCTCCGGGGGTGGCATGCTCGCCAGCCAGCCGCTGGCCGCTCTTCACTCGATGGCCGAGCGCAGCCACCACCAACAGCATCACCAGCCCCACGCCGCCCTCCAGCTCTCCACGCCGCCCGGCTCCCTCTCCGCCCAGAGCCAGGAGCAGGCCTCGCCCAACGGCAGCGGCAAGTACAGCCCGGCCACCTCCGTTAGCTCCGTCGGCAACAACCCCCACGGCATCGATATGATCCTATCGAGACCCACCGCCGCTCATCCCCAGCAGGCCCCCGTGCCCATGGGCCACGCGCTGCCCGCCAACGCTGCCCAGCACCCGCAGACGCTCGCCGCGCCGCGCTACGCCATGCACGCGGGGTTCACCGCCTCTGCCGGTCAGTTCTTTTTCATCTTATTTTTGGGGGCCTCGCGAACACTTTTGGGTCAGCCTATTGACGTTGAGGGGGCACGTCTTATCGTTGATGTGCCCATATTTGGAAATATAGACACTATTGAGTTTTAAATTTGAGCATGCACACGGGGAGGCACCGTCTCAGTCGATTAGTTTCTTTCTTTTTTTTTTTAATTGGTTTTTTAGGAAGCCCTGTAGACTCTTTTGGGTTAACCGATAGATCGGTCGTGCCTTATTGTTGATTGTTTAGAACTTGGAGAATGGGGATGTGAGAGTTGAGTTAGTTCTTTTCTGGGATTTTGTTGTTGGAACTGGCTGGCTCTGATGGTCGGTTCTTTTTCGTTGGTTTTTTTTTGGGGTGCCTTGCGTATTCCTTTGGATTAGATGGTCGTCGAAGCGGGAGGTCTCGGTACGTTTGGAGGATGTGGAGGAGGGAGATAAATTCATTCTTTTCTGGGATTTTCTTCAGATTCCCTGTCTTTGATGGTCAGTCCTTTTTCACTTTTTTTTCGCGTCACTTCGTGCATACTTGTAAACTAACCGATAGCTGTCGAACCGCGAGATAGTCAGTTTAGTAGGTTTGGAAAATCTGGAACCGGGAGATAAATTTCTCCTTTTCCATAATTTTGGGGTTCGGATTTACCGACTGGGCAGGCCAGTTCTCAGTCATTTTTTTGTCACTTTGCCTACACTTTTAGACCAATTGATAGCTGTCGAAGTGTGACTTTTTAGTGGACGTGGAGAGTATGGATCAGAGACGTGAATTTCTACTTTTGTAGGTTTTTGTCGGCGGAACATCGTTTTTGTCAGTTGGGGTATACTTTTCGATTACATTGTAGTTGTCGTAACGTTCAATTTTTATAAACTTTAAGAATTTGAGATAGAGTAATAAATGTGTTCTTTTCGTCGGTTTCACCGGGGGATTCGGTACTTCTTAACAATTATAATCAATTCTCTTTCATTGGTTCACTATCTTACTCTCTTCTTGTTTCCTGACACCTGCCGATGCGTTTGGTTACTTGGTTAACGCGATAGATCGAGAAATAATTTTTTTTTTGTTTCTTCGACATTTTTATACAAGCCCAATTTAAAGAGCCGATAATGGCGACCGGATTCGATGTCGCTCAACTACCCTCGACAAGTTGGGTATAAAGGTGAACAAATTTTCTGACGTTCAACGAGTCTCAGGACGGATATTCCTTTTTGAAGTTCCACCGTTCAGGAATAGGATTTAACATTCCATACGTTAACCTGCAACACATTCGTTCTTGTAAATTAAAATCAAAACAGTGAGTGAATACAATGACGAAATCTCTCCCCCGAAGGTTTTCATTTCTGAATTCGGTCTATTGTACCACATTACATTTTTTTTTTATTACAAACATTGTACATGAAATTTTCGGAGAGGGAATTTTTTCCAACCCTAGTCTTTTTCTCTCATTTCAACTTAAACATAGATTGACTGAATTTTATGAACACGAAACGTGATTTTTCTTTCCTAGTTGTTAAAATCCAATTTGTTACTTTAAAGTATGTAATATGTATACGGTAGAAAGGATACTGAAATACACTGTCCCTAGATTATTTATCGCTCTTTTTTACTCAATATGAGAAAAGACTAAAGATTCACCATTTGCAACACGGTGGCTTCCGTCGCTCGGCGGTTCTTTTCTCTCGGATGGAATTTCAGATGAAACCGTATCCTCAAGTTTTCCGGCAACACAGACAAGCAATAACTGTGACCGACGGTGCTTATCGTCGGAAATTTCTTAAAGTTACGAGCCAACGGAAAACGTCGGGAAGCAAAATGCATTTTCTCGCGCGAGGTGCATTTTGAAACTCCCTAACCTCTCTCAAATTCGACTTGAACATCAAACTTCTGACGACCACTTGATGAAACACGGTAAAAGTGTGCGATTTCCATGAAATATTTTAGATTTTCGAATGTGTGAACCTGGAATCCAGTTTGAGGCACAAACAAAATTAAAAGGCTTATCGGAATGTTTCCGTGATGTGCCCTGTTGAGTTTTGTTTGTGGCATTTTTTTTTTGTACAAAAACCAGAGCTGTTCAAAAAGATAAAGAAATTCCGAAATCGTGTAAATTTGGGTTTTTCGACTCTAATGGGTTCTCTGACGTTAGGGAAATTCAGAGCCTCCCAGAACGTCAAAAACGTTAAAATGGTAATTTTCGAAATTTATTAAATTTTTTTAACAGCCCTGGTTTTTTGAAAAAAAAAATGGCATAAACGTCTACGTCACGGAAACATTCCAATAAGCCTGTTCATTTTGTTTGTGGCTCAAATTGGATTCCAGGTTCACACAGCAGGTAAAAGCACATTTGTTGCATTCAACTTAACCCTCTACTATATTTTGTTAACAACTTTTAGATTATTGCGACCTAAGGGACGGAATTGAAAAATCTTTCACCTCAATGTTTCCGATGAAGAAATTTCTCTCGTTCGGATTTTAAGACAATACGATTAAGTGATGTTTCGGCAACAGATATCAGCGATGCGTGGTTTATTCCTCCATTGAAATAAGATTTCGCGATGTTTATAAACAGTATAAAATTAATGTTTCACGAAATTAACGCAGATTTTTATACCTCCGGGTTTTCTCGAGTTTCCGTGCAATTAATCAGAAGAATCCTGTGTCTGATTCTCTGGACACCGTGCATTAAGAACATTCACTGGATTTATCTACTCCATTCTTCAAGAGATTATACGTGTAAATTATATGCGCAGTATGATATCAGTACTTACGAGTTTGCGCAAACACCGGGCAGCAAATAGTGCACTGCATATGCACTCGTGGTTTTTATTCTCGCCGGCTGAAATATACTCGTACGAGTCGTAGAATTGCACCGTGTTTAGAATTGCTTTAATGTTTATTATAAAATACCGGAGGAGAACGAACGTACACAGTGGGATTTCATTTTATAAATCCTTGCGAGCCCTCGGCAAAATTCAGTTATATTGCCTAAACAAAATTCATATGCTGTTAGGCTGTAAATTTTCTCAAGGGGGACTAAAAACGGTGCGATCTTTATTTCGCTTAGCCCCATGAATATCTAATGTGCTCCTATTGGTTCTATATTTCGGATGAACGTCCGAAACCTTTGTATTCGATGGCCATGTCCAAAATGGGCCCCTCGAGTCATTATAATCATACGACATATGGCCGAAGAATTCATTGCGAGGGTATACATTGGTGCTCACTTGTTCACGAAGGTGTGAAGAAATCATCCGCGAAAAAAAAAGACAATACAGACGACTGCACATATCGATTGCGTTGAATATTCAAAAGGTTCTTCTTTTTTTACAATATTTAAGATACATTTAAAATCCCCTGAAAATTGTGCCGAAATTCTGTTGTACTACCTAAAACGGTCTGGCAAATATTTATATACTTGTTATATTATATATTAATATTCCGGACATTTCAATTTTCGTCGTTATTATCCATCATGATCACTTTGCTCGTGCATTTCGTCACTTTCTAATGAATTACCTGTGCCGTGTATGATGCATTCATTACTTCCTGGACGTTATTCGATAATCCCAGGATTCCGCGTGTATAATATTTATGAAGCAGTATATCGGAATGTTACAACCTGGGAATGGGCATACTGTTACAATTATGGCGGTGAATCACATCTTGTCCGCATGTAATACATATTTCATGCACAGACCTACCGATGTTATTTACACGACTCTTATAATTAACGTTTAATAATGATATCATCGCTGCGGTCTAATCAATTACTCAAATTTTCTTTATAATTTATCAAGTCATTTATTACATTAAACCATGCACATGAATTTTCGAATATGTAACGTTACCTTCGGTAGGAAATACTTTTTACTTATGTTATTCCATTTTTCTGCCGCGAAGAGAGGAAATATTTGTACGGCCTACTTCTAGTAGCCCTCGCGTTCGCAAACGGAATGGAATTAAAAATTATCAGACTTAACACATCGCAGGCGAGAAATTGAATACCTGGATAGAAAGTACATAACGAGACGCGAGATTCCTCATTCGTTATGCGTTAACATAGAGCGGTATTAAACGGAGGTAAGCAAGGTCGATCTTCGATTCGTCCTCGAGGTAGGAATGTTGTTTACATCGGTATATACAGGTTTCTTCGCGGTACACAGTAAATACGTCCATTTCTAGGTTTGCCGAACCGTAAAGCATTCGTCATGTTAAAAATATAACCCCGCATATATAACACCGTGAATAGCTGTTTCGCCTAAATATAGGTATTTAATTGCAACCATAGAGGCCCGGTGGATATCAGTCTTAAAGGTGCTTTAAATACAGGTTCTGAATAGGCCTCCCTTTATGGCGTCACTAAATAACCGTCTTTAGCGGTAAATGCGAGTCCTGAATACGGGCCAAATATACAGACGCAACTCCCTAAGCCTTCTTTTTAACAGGTCCCCTCGGCGGGCCTTCTCTTTTCTTCGGCCTCCTCTTCTCGGATCTCCTTGAATTACTATTAACCTAACGTGTTTAATGATATATGCAATCACTCGACGGCTAATGTTTCCTTTTCCTTTTTTTTTTGTTCCAGGAATCGGTCAGTTCCAACAAAGGACGGAACCGAGACATCCTGCCGTCTACTGGCCTGGTCTTCAGGGTTTGGTCAGCGACCCCTTGGCATGGCGAGCCAGATTGCATACACGTAAGTCTCTACATATCTCACCAACAATAGGCGTTCATATCTCTCGGGACTTTCTTGTATATTTTTGGGGCTCGAGTGTCGCATCAAGAAATATAAGTCTACGTACATTAGTCCTGAACGGGTTTGCGTCGTATACATCGCGATTCCTTTACCATTTTGATGATTTTTTACCCTTGGCATAATTGCCAGATTGCATACACGTAAGTCTCTACATATCTCACCAACAATAGGCGTTCATATCTCTCGGGACTTTCTTGTATATTTTTGGGGCTCGAGTGTCGCATCAAGAAATATAAGTCTACGTACATTAGTCCTGAACGGGTTTGCGTCGTATACATCGCGATTCCTTTACCATTTTGATGACATTAATTACAGTTCTTTCGTCATTTTCGCCGTGATGTTCATCATCACGTTCAGAAACATAAGTCAACATCCATAAATGTCAGTACGTCTTCGCATATTTTTGTGGTGATTTTTACGTTAACAAGTTTTCGAGAGAGGCAGGCTTTAATTTTTGTTTAACCTTTTAGCCCACATTTTCATAATTCTAGCCTTAAATGATGATAAACTACTAAGAATTGAGATAAAGCTTATCGGTACAATGGTGGGCATGAGTCATACGTTTATATGCCAGAAGATCAAGTGGCACAAAAGTTCATATCAAATTTGGTGGATTTCTAGTCTTTTGTTTTGCTAGGAAAGTGTTGAAATTTTGAAAAGTGATGACGTGCACACTTGGGGCTTGTTGATGCCCGAAGGATGTTTTCGAAGGGTCGGACGAAAGTTGTAAAAGAAGTTTGCCACCAGAAATATGTGGTAATATAATGTTAAATTGATAACTGGTAATATAACCACCTCACGTCTCTGTATACGAGCGAAATTTATTGATATTCCTTCAAAGAATTCACAATGATGAATTGGAAAGTATAGCCTTTGACGGCCCCCTAGGGTAAAGGGGTATAGCACTCGGAGAGTTGATTTATAGTCATTGTCTGTAGTAGCGCCCCGTTACGTAAGCAAGTCTTATAAAATCGTCATCGCAAAAAGTCCTGCAGGACTCTTTTACCGACTTTATTCGCATACCACGGAATCCATTAAAAAAATAACACTCATTGAAATTCTCTGACATATTGCTGTACCTCCTGGTTATAAAATGTTGAGAACGGCTTTTTAAATTGTACGCCTATTATGATTTTATAATACCCAACCAATGTCGTTCAGTTCATCGATCGTCCGTACAATTTAGTCGTACCTTTTATTTAAAAGATTGAAAAATTATAACAAGAACCTTACGGCGTGAGGTACATGACTTTTTCGAATCGACAATCCGGTAAATCGACGAGAAATAGATATAAATGTAACACTGTACTGTGGGCGATTTTTCTAGTTATCATTTTTGAGGAAAAATTGTAATATAATACGCAATATGAAATTCTCCCGATATACCAGATGTTCCATTTTTAATATTGACACGTTTATATTAATTAAGGGGAGGATTTAATCGGACGATTTCCGATAAGTCTCACGAATCCGTAAAGTGTACAATAGCTATCGGTAACTAATAAACCTCTTATCAAGCTTATTCTGATAAGCGCCTTATGGTGCAGACTTTATACAGCAGAGCGGTGATTTACGCGGTTTATTAATTATTTACTCTTATATTACATGCATATCCTATGTCACGGCTCATCTTTTAGTCATTTTATCGAGAGATTCTAGCCGTGCACTAATCTTCGGGGTGATAGGCCGTTTGTCGCACGTTTCGTCCGGTGCAGGCAATCTAATCGCCGCCGTCTCGGTGTACCATGTCGAGATAACTGTCTCTATTGTCTCCCATGTCGTCATAACCGTCTTCATAGGATGGTAATAACGGATGATCGACTCGCAATCGAGCATCAAGGTGGACCCACATCGTAATCCTTGCACTTGGAAGGTTCTATATGTCGCAATTATGGCCATTTTTCTCGCCTCCAAAACGATAAAATTCTTGATAATTAAAATTAATCGATTAATACGTCTTTAGTTCTTGGAGAAGCGTCTTGGGTTGATAACGATGTTGTTTGGGTCGGTGTTAAATCATTATATGGTATCTTCGATGCTTCCCTAGTTGCGCGGCAATTAGTTCAGATAAATGATCGGAGGCGTCATAAATTTGAATTATCGGCTGTAAAAAATGGTTGATTGTCTCGGTGCAGGGATTGCCAGTTGTACAAGTAGGTACTAACGACACGCGGGATCGTATCTTATGGACCATCCTCCGGCAATCACATTACTTCCCTCCGTTTTAAGAGAAGAGCACTTCCACTAATTGCTATACACGGCCAGTACATGTACCGCGATGGGACGCGAAATAACAAGGTTTAAATCCATTAGGACGGATTTATGACTGGTACCGGTGAAAATTGAAAAAAAAAAATTAAAAACTGTCGTCGATTTCTGAAATAGAGATTAAGCAATTTGATTTCTTCTCTTAAATGAACTCTCCAAAACTACCCACTGGCTACGGATGTGAAGTCGATGAAAAATCTCTTAAAAGTGAGATAAAATAAATGATGAATTTTTTTAATTCATTGTACATCGAGTAATATTTTCAACCGTTGCTTGTAATAACTCAAATCGTGTTTTGTCCTGCACGATATCCTTCGATATTGCCAAGTATACGATAATTTTGATTATTTTCTCCTACTTTCATTTATCTTGAGTTTAGGAGTATGATAAAGCGTCAAAGGTGATTTACTTCGACGAATGGCTATCGCAGAACACGAGGATTAACAGAGGTTCGGAAATACAATAAAAGTCTAATACAGTTAGATAGTTCCCCCTAAATGACACTCGTTTCATTCGTGGCGGCGAAAAGTCTTCCCATTCTTGACTCGGTAATCAATCCACCATACACTATATGGATCCCCCACGTGCCATTGAACCAATTGCCGGAGTTTGGGTGCCCTAATCACTGACCTCTCTGCAGGAAGACTTAGCGATTATCAAGGATGAGTGGCTGCCACTAGCGAAACGGCCACTACCGAGGGTTACTATAGGGGGTTACTATAAGGGGTTACTATAGGGGGTTACTATATAGAAGGGGATGCTGCAATGTATCTCGCAAAGTGCCGGAGAGATCGAGAAACCTCGTTCCGGTATTAACGACGACGTCGAATACGGTCAGCGAAGGCGTAACCATGATTTGTATTGTCTAAATTGTTTCTAGTCTACATTGAATTGTTCCGTTAGGGCATTCCAATGGTTATGTCGTTTTTACAGGTGATCTTTGAAATAATACCGCAGACAGAGGCACAGAGTTAATCAGTATAATGTAATGGCTTATAACCAGGGAGTCAGTCAATGAAGTCAGTTAAACGGCAAAATGGTTCCCCGGAAAACGACAGAACTTTTGTAATGACCTAATAAAATGAAGCTAAACAGCCCCATCGGACGACCAGTTGGTTGTCCCACTAGAAATTATCGATCTCGGCTAAACCTCTAAATCCTCAATGTTTTTGGGGATTTAGTTTGAAGACAGAAATTGCTGTCGCGTTTTGTTCACTAATAAGAACCTCGGAGTTCATTCTTGCGATTAGGATCCTCTTCCAAGTCTTGGAAACGATTCAATTCAATTGGAGCTTGAAAAACGTCATAACAGAATGGTTATTACATTTAGTACTTGGATTTGAAAAGTTTTAAACAATTAATCATTGTGGAATGACGGAGAAAATGGCCTAAATGACGAAAACCTACTATGGAAACGTTGGTTCGCTGCATTCGTAAAAAGTAAATTTTGAGACGTGTGAAATTTAATGTTACTATTTTTCTTGACTATTTGCATAAAATTCTATTCCTACGATCAGAAGTGAATTTCGGAAAATCCGTTCGCGCTTTTTCCGACTTGATAGCGTATGTAAGGCATCGAGCCGAGCCATGAAAGAGAGCCAGCTCGCGTCAAAATATTTTCACAGGCCTTCGAGATTTTCGACGAAGGCCTGGGAAGCTCGGAGATGGAATGTTGGACCGGAAAAGGACACTCGCTGACAGATTACTAGGAAAACGTGACGGAGAAACGATACAAGAGTGACGACATTTTGGAAAGTGCATCTAGTGCGAGCAGTGTTCTACACCGAGAAAAAGGAAAAAAAAAAGATGCATTAAACCAAAGAAATATTTCTTTCAACACTACCAATGAAATGTTTCGTTTTGCATCCAATTTATTCGAATTTATTCGAGTTGAATAATTATTCTATGAATTGACGAAATATATTCTTTGGTTTGATGAAATGTTTTGTTTTTTTTTCTCAAAAACGGTTCTCGACGCTTTTTAGAATCTGACAATGTCATCCTATGAAATCCATCCTTCGCAATGAAAGGGCTGGAACGTTGAACTAATATGCGAGCAGTGGTGCGCATTACTGCATTACGGCGACGCATTACTGCAACTCGGTTGCTCGTACAGTTGTAGGGCGTTTTTAGTCCTCCAATACTGCAGGGAGCATTGCTTATGCGGTTCTGTCGCAGCAGTTAGAATGCGCCACACTAGGCGGAGGTACCACCAGAGTGCAACCGGTAATAATGGCAGTACTCCAATAGTACCGCAATAGTAGCAGTAACGCTTCACATTCGCCGCCAACGAATGCACCGGCTATGAGTCATGCCGCAAAAGAAAACCAGTTCAGGATTGCATAAAGTTCGCGCGATTCCGGAAATGTTGCCAGAATCCTGCGACGCAGAATTGTGTCGTTTCTTCGTTTCCTTCTTTTTTTTTTTTTCTTGCAAGCCTTGAGTTTTCGATCATTTATTGGCGATCATTGGTAATTCCTTTTACACTCCGAGGGATCGAGGAACCGATTCGAGGCTGCAATCTGCCTGGAAAAAATACAGAAAATGAGAACCGTTTGAACTAGAGTTGACTCACGGTAGATATATAACAAATGTGTAACATAAATGTTTATGTTAATGCTCACCAATATTCCCCCGGAGGTTCATTGTGCCGCGGTGATGGGTAGACAGATTTTAAGGGAAGCGGGACTGCTTCCTGCGCCGAAAATACCCCGGTGCATGTATCGTGACAGCTGTCACTGTCACGTGTGACATGACGAGGATAGGGAAACGTGCATATGACATATCTGGCATTATCTACTGCCGCAAGAAGAATGCTTGCCGCGTTTATGTATTACGGAACCAAAAAAAGAAAATAGGGTTTTATAATACGATGTCGATTCATTGTGCGCTTCGGTACTTACTTAACCGTTAGACAAATAATGTTAATTCGGGGTGTCCTTTCACGGCTGATACAAAATATCCGTTATTGTTCCGATTGTTCGACGGTACGGCAAGAGCAACTATTTTCAAATAGGGTACCTGATAAGTCGCCGTTCTTACCACTATCAGCCGAAGGAGGAATCGTTGATACAAGTTCTACCGCGATACCCAAAATGTGCATTAACCCATTTGCATGAAGGGCTGAATGGTAGTGACCAGTAAAATTGAGCGTATATATACGCTCCGGTGATAATAACCAGAAAAACCGAGCGTATATATACGCTAATCATGCAAATGGGTTAATCGTATACACTTATTACTTACACCTCCGCGGAATTGAAGGATACCTTTTTTCAATAATCTCCTGATCTCGTACAATTACATGCGACAATAGGAAAATAAGCCATGACTGCGCATTCGCGATAACGTTTTCTTTATCCCGCGCAGCGGAATCGTTGCTCGCCGATACATATTACAAAAAGCATCCCCAAGTAGCTGCGTAAAATCCGGTCGTAATAATCCGTCCAGGACTCGAAAGAAACGAACTCGCCCGGTAACGGGGGAAAATCTGGGGAAACGGCGTTTCGGTCTCGGGGGGGTCGGCACATCGCGTCTCCCCGTATCTCGAGGCGGCCGGGGATAAACACGGCGGGAAAAGAACGTTAGGTCCATTTACACGGGCGATTAAGGAAACCATGAAACCGCGGAAAACGGCACGTAAAGCAAAAGAACAGGCGGCGGCGTGCGCGCGTCCCCCTTTAAACGCATAGATCATCCCCGGCGGTAACACATGTGACTCGACGTAAGGAGAGGGCGCGCGAGGGGCCGACGCGCACCCGGTTCGCGCAGCTCGCGGCGGCGCACGCGCGGCGCAAATAAGAGGGTAGAGAGAGAGAGAGAGAGAGAGAGAGAGAGAGGGCCGTTAGCCCGCTGGCCGCGGGGCGTTGGATCTAGAATATCATATTCGATGTTACGAGCGGCCTCGCCCCGCCTCGGGTTCGTCCGTCCCCCTCCCCCTCTCCCGCCGGGCCCTCCGCTGTTTCCACACTTACTTGAATAACTCGAGCAATATTTTAACCGCGCCCCCCCTCCCCCCACGCGACTTAGCCCCGCGTGCGCCGAATGTATATACGCCCATATTATATATATACACGCGCGGGTGAGATATATACGCGATATAACGCGTACGCGTTAACCTCCGTGGATTCGATACCTCGAGGAGCGAGCGGCAGCCTTCCACGAGCCTCAGGAGGCATCGACGAACGACCGCCACGGGAGCGACCGTGCCCTTTATTTATGCTTCCTTCCCGCCAATTCCCAATAAAAACCCCGGACGGCGCTCGCTCGCTGTTCGCGCCTCGCCCACCCCTCCGACCCCCATTGCCGGCCCGACCGTCGACCGCCGCGGACGTGCGCACCGAACTCAGCCGAGCGACGCCCTCTCTCCATGCCGACACTTCGACGACGCTTTACGGCCGGAAGATGCGGACGCAGCTTTTTCCGGGGACCGGCAGGAACGGGAAGATGCTGACCCAGGAGACCCTTCGTTTCTTTCGCTCGACGCGGGACGCGCGGAAGGGACGCGGAAGGACGGTGGCCTTCGTGGACTGCACTGTTAAAAGGAATATTGTAATTTAATAACGCTTCTGTTGGAAGTTCTGTTCGGAGATGGTATATTAATTTTATAATGTACTTTCAAATAAAATCAACTTTCCCGACAACCCGACAGTTTTTGGTGGCCGAATGGTGGGTGATCTCTGGTTAACCGATTCACTCGACACCTACGAATGAGATATCTCGTGACGCGGTACTGTTTTTTTTTTTTATACGATTTTTATGAGTTTTACAGTTCAGGTCAAACGATCCAAATTCAATTTATGTGGCGGACGGGAAGAAACGACGAAGTAATTGCTGATTAATGGTACGGAGAGTTAGGGGTCTCTATTTAAACCTTTTAGTGCCGGGCAACGATATACCGTCTTGCGATAAGTGAAAACGATTTCGATTGGCACTAGAAAGGTTTTAGGACTTCACGGATATTTCAAGAATTAGCCATTAAAATTGCCGAAATTGAACGTTAGCTCTTTATGGTCATCGGTTGGCAATTCATGTATGTGCGACATTGTTTGTAAGATATCTTGTATTAACTGTGATCGATGGAAATTATTGATGTGGACGTAAAGACTGCACTTCTTATACGACATGTTGGTGTTACAGTCTCGCAGCAGCTGGGTTGTCAACAGGCCATGACAGGAGCTGGTGGAGGCGGTGTCGGGGAACACGAGGGGAGTAAGAAGAAACACACGAGACCGACGTTCAGCGGCCAACAGATTTTCGCCCTGGAGAAGACGTTCGAGCAAACCAAATACCTGGCTGGCCCCGAACGAGCGAAACTGGCGTACGCCCTGGGCATGTCGGAGTCTCAAGTCAAGGTAAGAAAAGTTCCTTCCAAGATAAGGGAGCCGGATAAATGGACGTTTCTCGCTTTGACGAAGTTTTCGTTTCACGTGGAACCGTCTTGGAAGGCTTAACACATACCTAACATAAAATAACCAGAAGCGCAGTCCATACGGCCACGTGTTCCATCGGTATGCTTCCGGTGTACGGATATTCTAATCGCGAATGCAGCGCTACATTTCGGACCAGTCAGAAAAAAAAACGTTCACCACTGTCAAAAAGTCACAGTCCAAGATGAGGAAAATCAAACAATTCGACTAGGTATGAATCGCAAGGTATGAAGGCAATACCGCGTGTGAATTAAAAGTCGGCAATATCAGTGGTTTACAATAAACGAAACTCTGTCTCACGTACGTAACAGTTTGTACAGTCATAAAGTGCGAAGCTTAGGAGATTGTTTGACCATTTTTGCAATTTTAAAGCGGCTCCTTATGATCGACAATTTGATTGGCCTGCTTGTGGGTACATTTATGCGAGGTATGTGGAGGACTCTCTTTTGGTTACGGCCGGGAAGGAGTCCACCTCGCGGTGCGCTCGATCGAGTCGACAAGCCCAAAAAACACCCCTAACGGATGAGGCAAAATAAGTGGTAAAATAAGTGGCGACGCGAGGAGCTTCGCCGCACCTGCGTCCCCGTCCTCGCTCGCCCGGCCGCGAAAGAGACGAAAAGGGATGAGAAACGGATGGAAAAAGGGACAAACATCGGGCATGAGCCCTCCCTTCGTCGGGGGAGTCGACGTCGTTCTCGGTTTCGGGCTCGGGGCTCCAACCTCGTCCTTATCCCGGGGCTCTCGGCCCTGAGTTGCGCCGTTCGAGCTCAAATCCACCAGCTCCTAAATCCCTCCTGATTCCCCTGGATCCGCAGACCCTGTCGCAGGCGTTTCCGGGACGAATTGGCGTGTCTCTCCATCTGGCGTCGATGTGGCGCTGTCGTCGGCTCCTCCTAACCGGCCATCTTTGCATTTTCACGGCAATTTAAAAGATAATCACGGTGGTCGAATATGGACGGAGATACAGAGAAAAATAGGAAATATGTCCAACGGAAATATTGCGTTTTGAGCCATTCGACGACCTCGAATCCAGTATGGTGAACTCCCGTGTAACGCGAATTCCCATAACGCATGTTATTTATATTATTCGTGTCATATGAGGAAAATTTTCGGGTATACGTGATCTTACACAATGCGTAATGTATTGACAGCGTTTTACGGGAGTTTAATGTACAAGGCAGGAGTTTAGAACAGTACTTTGGGTACGCTGGGAACAAAACATCTCTCTTCACATTTTTTGTTTTTCATTCAGAACAAATTACAAATTTGTACCATGTGTTCTGTGACCGATGCTATTAAACTCGTTCGTTCAGGCTCTCAATGCGATGCTGGGTGTTTTGTACAATTTCCTTTGCGAGTAAACGTGGAAAGAATTCAGTTTGCGCCGCGTCCTTGTTCCTCTTGCATCCTTGACATGCGCCATCCTTGCCACGCCCTAAATATGGCCCTGCAATAATTAAAAGAATTCCTTGAAAGATTCGAGGAGATGGTAGGATGTTACGAGGACAGAGTAGCAATGGCGTGCAATCAACGGGAAAAATAACGCGCCACGAGGGGCTTTTCTGGCAATTTTTTAATAAGGATAAATGTAAACGCAAACATTCGAAACGGGCTTCTCCCTCGTCGAGGCCCTTCTCGGTCTCGGCTGGGGTTTTGACTTATCCCCGCTCCGTTAGAGCCCAACCGAGCTCTCAAATCTCCCCCGATTTCCCTGATGTTCCCCTGATCCCCCCCGATTTCCCTGGATTGCGAACCCCTGTCCCTGGGAGGATCTGTGCCGCCATATTTACATTTTTATTGAAAGTTCGAGGTCGCCGATCATCGTCGACGACACGATGCGCTAAACGCATGGTACGGGGAAAAGGACGTTTTACTGCCCTAAACATTCTAGAGGCACTTATTTAAAGTCTGACACTATTCGTTTAAAATTGTCATTTCCTGGCAAACATGTTTTGCCGTTTCATTGACATTAAGTAATCACCAGTGACTTACGGATTACCGATGACTGACTGACGTTGTATCACTTTCGGTGCTACTTCAATGTTCACCTGCAAAAACGACGGAATCTTTGGAATGACCTGATATCATTATCCGTAGTATAAATTTAGGTGAAAGGAAAAATATCACATCGTGCCGCTGTCAACGAACGTCCTAACGAGTGTTTTGCTCCGTGCGCGAGCTGACGGTCCCGTAATTTTTTTAAACAAGGCTAAACGTAAAGACAAACATTCGGAACGAGCGCACCCCCTTGAGTCCTCGACCTCGTCTCCGGCTCCAACTTATCTCTATCCCCGGGCTGGTTTCCGGTCGCGCCACCCGGGCACGACCGAGCTCTCAAATCCCCTCCTGAATATCCTGATGCTCCCCTGATTCCCCCGATTCCGCTGGATTGCGATCGCTTGTCCTCGAGCCCGGAGAACGCCTCCATTGCTGGTTCGACTTCTCTCCGCGAGGCGGCGCCGTATCCTACTTGCTCGAATATCGATCGACGATCCTCGATGAAGAACCGATGCGCCAAATACGCGACCTAAGTAGAGAAGATAGGTCGATAATAGTACAGGAAGCTTAGAAAGCGATATTGTGCTCAGAATGTAATACCACAATTGTTTAAACGCAACTATGATAAGTAGTTGAATGTGGCGGAATGCAGCGGATGAGTGGTTTTTCTTCTCGCTGGGAAGGATTCCGGGATTATTGTTTATGTGATTAAAGTCAAAGACAGATACTCGAAATAAGTACGTTCTTTGGCAGACGTCCTTCTCGATATCAGCCTGGAATGCAACTTGTCTCTGTTCTTGAGCTGGTTCTCGGTCGCACCCCAGGATCTCTCAATCTCCCTCGTGATGCTCCCCTGATTCGCCTGGATTGCGATCCCCTAGTCGACGAGCTCTAAAGGACTGCTACCTCTCGTAGTTCAACCGCTTGCCGGGACGTCGCGCTGCGGACATCTCTTCTAGTATCTTCAAAACATTCACAGAATATCGTTAAAATAACGTACTCAATAAGATTGTAAAAAAAAAACCTCAAAATCCGATATTTTTAAACTCACTGACTGAGCTAGTTCTCTTAATGAGGCATCGCGTCCCTCGTAACGAATTCTTCTTCATCTTATAACGCGACATCGAATGGCTAGCTCTTCTCCGCCATGTTTAGAAGTCTGTCGACTGCCGACCGGTGATTCTCCCCGATGTCACGATCTACGAAAGTAAAGATACGAATCGGTTCAGGCGGATGAAAAATTGGGAAGGAAAAAGCCGGAAGGTCGGTTAACGAGGGCGTCCCGTCTCCGACAATGAATTATCCGCTTCTTATAACGAGCGCGCCTTCTGGCGGGCGTCCTTCTCGGTCCCGTCTCGAGCTGCAACTCTTATCCCTATCCTCGGCTGCTTCCCAGTCTCGCCGTCGGAGCTTCGAAATCCCCCCCCGCCCCGTGATACTCCCCTGATTCCCCTGGATTGCGATCCCCTAGTCGGCGAGCCCCGAGGACGGCCGCCACTTGTAGTACGACTGCTCGCCGCGATGTGGCGCTGTCATTGGCTCGTTCCGCGCCGCCATATTTACATTTTTATTGAAAGTTACAAGTCTGTGTTTGTGAGCGATGGCGAGGGAGGATGGTCGGAGGGCGGATCCGGGGTGACGAGGGGCGCCGAGGGGGAGGGGAAAGGGGGCAGAGGGGGAACAGGAGGGTCGTAGTCGTAGTCAGCGGAGGGTTGGCATTCAATTACCTCGGATTTCCTCGGGAAGCGCCGATTCGTTTCTACCTATATACGGACTATCCTCGGAACGAGATTGCCTTTTGTATCTGGACCGAAGCCGTATTTTCCAAAATATTACCCCGGCATTTACATCCGACAAGGGCCGACCAATTGGCTCTTACAGTCGTTTATCTCGCTATCTGTCGTCGCTGTTTAACCTCCCTTATTAGGGAAGGACGGATTCCCTCCGTCTACGAATAGTCATCCGGTGATTATTAATTAGCGTCATAGTTGAAATGGGACGTTATTATGAAGTTGTAAAAATGGTCCCTCAAATTTGGTCCACACCTTGGTTTTATTGCATCGCTCTTTGGGTCATGGGAAATGGAAAATCACGATGGGCCGTTTATTTCCAAAATATTCAATATTTTATTGTAACGTGACTTTCTTTTTATGGATGCACGTGTCAATATTTTGTAGACTAGGTGAAGTCCGATATCACGTGTTTACTTAATTCACTTGAAAGGAGATGTTATTTTTGCGGACTTAGAAAAACGGAGATGTAAGACGTGTACTTTTCGTTTCTGGCGTGAACAAATGGCTTCTGGAGTTATGCATTTAATTACGGAATAGCGATGTATCTTGGGTAATTAGTAGTGCCGTTGTTGATCAATCCTCTTTTCTTTTTTCTCGTCCTAACGTGAGCATTAATTTTGAGCTGGGTGGAGGACTCGTCTCGACGGAAGAATTAGCGAACGTTGGCTGGTATTACAAGAAAACGGGCGTTTGGAATGGAACCTCCACTGTGGGAAATCTAACCGCGGAACAGGAAAATATTCATTCTCGTCGTGCACGACGGCACTCTCATGGGATCCGACCAAGTTCTCGCAGGAGGGAAAAGCTCCGTACCTCGTTTCACCCCGACGTCTCTTCCCACCCTGAATTCCCCCATCGTCGATAAACGCGTTTCCTTTGATTTTTCTTCCTTCTCGATCTTGATTAAATTCGGAGCTCCGGTACGAACTCTTCCCCCCCCGATGCAGAGCTGAGTAGGACACTTCCCGTGGAAACTGGTACCTCTAAAAAAGGAAACAGGGGTTCATATCAGTCTTCTGGAAGATTTGAAAAAAGCGGGTCTTACTCACAATCAGAAAACTCATGCCGTTCCTCGTCACTCTTTTCTTTACGTATTCCCATGAAAATTACCGAACAATTCAAGGTGCCATGAAA